TGCCCTAGCCCCCCCGCGGCCATGGCTAAGGGCAACTGGTGGAATTGCTCTTATGTATGTCACTTGGATACATCAATCAAACTAAAAGCTAAATCGCCTTTTTTTCATGACTTTGACTTTGAGGTCCTCCTCTCCTTTATTGCTCTCTCTTCTCCTTATGAAACTTTTAGGCTAAGAGTATCCACAGTGAAAGTGTGTATAATGAGGTGTATGTTAAATATACACCCTTTGTGATCGGAATCACCCGCAATAGAGAGATGTAAACGAGTGTAAATTTGCATCACCACCATGAGATGCAAATGTAGATGCACATATACATCTTTTTTTACATCTCTTGCAGGTGGGACCTACACGAGAAAATGTGAGGAAAAGGGGACAAAATTGGGACCTACAGCAAAAAAAGTGAAAAAAAATAACTATACATCTTTCCCACTAGAGCAAAAATCACATTTACAAGTCTCGGAGGTGTAAAGGGGATGTAAAAGTGGCTTTACACCCCCGAAAATACACCCTCCCACTGTGGATGCTCCAAGGGCATCTGATATGTTCATAATTTCACATGATTTTATATCCTTCTTACTTAGTTTTGTGGGGTTAATCGTTTTATTAGTCCCTGAACTTAGACCCGATTTGCATTTGAGTCCCTCAATTTCCAAAATCGTTCCCGTGGTCCTTCAACTTCAATTTCGTTAGGACAAATGGTTCTGCCGTCAATTTTGTTAACTTTTCTGTTAAATGCAGGGGCAAAAAGGTATTTTTATATTAAAACAAAAAAAATGAATAAAAAATCATATCTTTAAAATAACAATAAAAGAAAATCAAATAAAAAACCAATAAAATAAAATAAAATAAAGTTTGGGGGGAGTAGAAATCGGGATAGAGGGAGAGAGAGAGAGAGAGTTTAATTTTAATTTTTTATTTATATTTTAATCAATTTAATACAAAAATACCATTTTGCCCCGGCATTTAACAAAAAAGTTAACAAAATTGACGATAGGACCATTTGTCTTAACGAAACTGAAGTTGAAGGATCACATGAACGATTTTGGAAATTGAGGGACTCAAATACAAATCGGGTCTAAATTAAGGGACTAATAAAACGATTAAACGTAGTTTTGTGAATTAATTTGGACTAAAGATGTTAATTTTAGTTATTTACTGGTTTTTCAGCTTATGAGTCACGAAAAGGATAAATTCGCCAAATATTCCTCATAATAGAGTTTGACATAATTCTAATTAGAGATGGAAGATAGCATCTTGACGGTTGTCCATGAATATTTT